AACACCAGGCAAAACACTGAGCAAGGTGGAACGCTTGCACTCTCTTGCTACTGCTAGTAACCATTGTACTGCTACCTGCCTAAAGTCGGAATGCTGGGAACCTGGGCAGGTGGTCGGGATATTCCAGAAAGATATACCCGCCCAGATGGTATCTTAGTCCAAGGGTCCAAATACCATAACATAGACTTGAAATTGCATCCCTTGGTTCAGTCTTGAAACCCAGAAAAAAAAACAGAAGGCCATCCGGGGAAGAGATGAAAGTGGTGTGGTCGCCGAAAATTGAGTGTGCATTGTTTAACGCGTTAGACGGCTCGTAGTCACACCGTTCTCCTGGTCATTGAACTGGTTTGGGTAATGTTGCTGCTTTCGACGGTACGCTGCCCAAAGCAATTTCTGGTGCGGCGACCTGTGATATGGCACCACCACCCACCGAGTAGCTACGGTCCTGACGAGCCCTTCTCGCTGGAAGAACGAAGGGAGATGAGGGCGTGTGGCGTTCTGGGTATGGAAAACAGGGTTTGAAAAGGGCTGACCCAGTAATCAGGCTTTTTTCCGATGTGGGACTTTTTCCCACATCGTCCCCGGGCAAGCGGTTTGGCGCACTTACACCTGGCGCCACCCTGGATTTACGTGGGCTGTTGAAACAAGACTGCACAGTACTTTCAGACGTTGTATACCAGTCTTCCGCCATTGTTTCGCAGGTCTGTGCGTGTTGCCAGTGTCACACAGGTTGACTTGGAGGCAGATCTGGTTGAACAGACGGATTTGGAGGACGCGTCAGCATCTGACGCTGGGCCGTGCGACTTGAACCAAACGGTGGACACACAAGCTGGTGTCGTTGGCTTTCTGTGGCACCCATGACATCAGGGGTTCGCCCCTCTTGGATGCAGATATCAGCAAACATGAAACGTGGATCTGGGCCCTCTTTGCACTCTATTTCCAAGAGGATCTTCGCCATGGGCTCCGCAATCCAACGACATCGAAAGGGTGGTGGTTTACAGGGAAAAATAACAAAGGAAACGATAGCGAGACAGAGCGGAGATATGTTTGGGGCCCGGTATCATCTGACGGGGGAGGTCCGGCGACCGAAACAATGAACAACCCTTATGTCTCGCACCTGCAGCTAGCACCCTCGAAGTGGCACCTGCGGTTAAAGCTCAGTATATTGAGATACCGACCAACAACAAAGTGCCAATTGAGGTGCGTAGTGTGGCCCTAAATTTACTGTATTGTTTGGTGGTGGTTTGCAAGGCGTTCTGAAGTTCGGGAACATTGGTCCCGGACAGCAACAAAAAAAAAAAAACGGCAAAACAACGCCGTACACTTGTAGCATATACTGTCGAAGCACTCGCCGTGTCGTCTATGTGTCTTGAATTTAGACTCGTGTTTGTTTTTGTTGATTCTATGCGTGGAGAAGGTATCTGGAGGTATGAATAGACCGCGCGAAATGCTTGCAATGACAAGTCCTAACAGCTGCCCTGTGCGGCTACTGCAGTAATTTCTCCTCCGGAACACTTCCCAGCTGGCCTTACGCATCTCGTACAATATGTGATCGCCGGCTGCTGGTTCGGTCGTTTTCGAAACCAGTCAGTCACAAAATCGGTCGGCCTCACCTCGTAAAGAGCCAGTTGTATCGGCGAGTGACGGATGAATCCTACATGCAACTGTACCCCTACAGAGAGCCCTCGGTCGTGGATGAATGCCTGACAACTGGCGGAATTATTTCAGGAATGCAGCAGTGCAAGTCAAACACGCCGCGTCTCCGATTCACTACGTGTGTTCCGGGTGCTGCAAGTCCGTGTCAACCCTGCGTCAACGAAAAATAGCTGTGCGGGCTGCCCGGTGTACGCGAACATGTGCATAATTGGACCTACAATACACCTAACCCTAGCCCCCCGCAAGGCAAAGCGGGCACACACACAAACACACCCACGCATTACCTGAGCTATCGCACTAAGGGGTGGAATCCTCGCCGCCCCTACCCTGCCAAGAGCGCTGGCTGTGTCCGTTGCCCCATCAATCCGCGATTGGTATTCCCGACTTGGTCCAGCGCATGAAGCACGTTGTCCTTGGCGCTGCCCGATGCTTGTTGTGTGTGGGCAGGTGGGCAGCATAAAGGACGTTGCCGGCATCAAAAGCGCCAGTGACGCTGATGCCACAAAGGCTGTTGCTCTTTGCCACATCATGGTGCCCCTACAACGCGCACAAGTTACACACAGCATGCACATCTGCCTCACACCGGGACAAAAAATGCGGCGGAATCAGCCCAGCGAGTCGCCTCCGAAAAACACGGAGAACCAAGGAGAGGTGGGAAATGGGAAGTTCTCGGTGCTCGGTGCTCAGCCTGTGCTTGCGTGCATGCGCTTTCCATATCCTAACTAATACCGCTTGCTTCGCCAGGGCTTACCCCTCCACTATATTAATTCAACGATCCAGCCGGGATTGGCTCATGCAGTCTCTCGGGTCCCTCCATCGCCACCTGCTTCCACTACTTGTTAACTACTGTTCCACCATGCCCACTACAGTGACGTCACACGGCACTGTGGCTGTAGACATGAAACGTTAGTTTAGCGACCATTTTATTGCGACCGTCCGCCTCTACTGCTATACTGTGATCTCCGGCACGTGTACTGCGGAACCCATAGGGAAAACGGCACGAACGTCCCTGCTGTGGCGGCCGTCGAAGCCAGGCTGCTTGCTGATGGGGCTGAAGGAGTGACAAGTAGGTTCCGCGGTACAGCAGTGCAGATAAGATCCCAGCGTCGTTGAAATGTCGTCATTTGAATACAGCGATAGACTATATATTGTGTTTATGTTTTAGAAATTCTACGCCCTAAGAGCAGGACCGCCTAACCCTACCTAGTGTACGGGTCGCGCGCCGGCAGGGGATACCCGTACACGCACTGCTGCCCGAGCTATGATGACAGGGACAGCACGGCTACTTGGCTACCGCGGGGCCACTGCGTGGTTGTGTACCTATGGATGGACGGCAAGGCTGGCGGCGGCTCAATGCACGTGAGCAACACAGGTTAAACGTGACACGCATTATGCGCTGCTATTCATTAGTCTACAGAAAGTGTTTCGATACTAAGAGTAGGACTGCCTAACCCGATGGTTGTCTTCGAACGGAATCACGTCCCCCCCCGACCTGTCCCCGTGCCCACATTCTCCGTTGCGTCGATCAACTGAATAGGTTCTCCAGCGCAACTTCTTCGGTCGTGACAGGAGGCAGCACGCCATATGACAGGCTTGCTATCACACCGGATGGCCTTTCGGTACGAACGCGTAAGGGGAGGAAACCTCCGTCGATGCACAAGAGCAGCGAGAGAGAGACACAGATATCATCACTATTGTTTTTATCCTGGCGTCTACCCAATCAGAAGGGAGTACCAAACCGTCAGACACGTGTACAGATATATAGTTCGTGTTGAAACCCGTTCGTTCGGTCTCAAAGAAAGGCGCCTTAACGTCAAAAAGTATAATTGTGGGCCCGCGAGTTTCTCAATAGCGTGTAGGTGGCCTAGATGAACAGGCAACATCTAAGCAACAACCCGGTACCGTCAACTCCTTACCGCTAACTTCTCGGTGCCATTCGGGAAACGGTATCACCATTGCAATACTGTAACACTTCGAATACAGAGACAAGGCCATTTCAGGCTGCATGTTCCCCCCAACCGTCATCACTGCAGCTGATATCAACGGCAATCGACGAAGGGCCTGATCCGGTCTACGTTTTCAGAAGCTTCGACGTCAACCCCAACGGCCAGCTCACTCTCGTCAGCGAATACACCTACGAATCGCAAGACGCTTCCCTGTATGCGTCTCCTGTCACAACGAGCCTCGACGGAATCAACGTATACATCGTTTTGCCAGTGCTGTCGGTGAGAACGGTCCGTTGACCTGGATTGACTCTTTTCCCCCACCTGCGCCAGGAACAATCTGACTAGATGTAGCTGCTGCTGGCCTCAACTAGCCAGGGTTGTTGACTCCCTTCACAACCCCCCCAGTCTACATGAATGATCGTTTATCAACTTGCTGTGAGATTTGCGCTGAACTGGCGAATCAGGCAGGAGTGGGCAATTAAGACTTGAGAACCGACACAGAAGATTAGGTTTCTGGCGAATACCCAAGCATCGAAAATCGATGTAGTATGTACCAACGCATGCTGTTGGGGAGTTAGAGACTGACGTTCCCCCCGACTGTGTAGGCTTTCCTCCCTCCAAGCTCATGAAGCTCTCCAAGACTATCGCATCCTCCCCCCCGTTGTTTTGGTTGCCGTCCGAATCCGACGCGACCGCACAATGCGGCCGGCGCAATGAATGTTTGAACGGGAATCATCATGACCGGGGTGTCTTGGCCGTTGCCCCGCACTGCCGCTCCAAGAAAATATATTCGTTCGAAACATCGGATATCTCCAGGTCAGTAGCTTGGGCATATCTTCGTACATCGGTAGAACGTTTCACGTCGGAGAGTCGATTCGGTCCCCAAACGTTCTTGATTATGTCCTTCGCACGTGTACATGACGTTTGAAGTACTTGGAGAAGTTTACGCGACGCACATTGCGCATAGCTTTTGAGCCGTGGTACTTGAAGCAGGAAATTATATTGACGCCAAACCTGTCATTCTCAAACGAACAGGGGTTCCTTTTGCTAGCATGCACGGTGCGTGCACTCACCAACCATCGAGATTGTAGAACTCACGAAGCTCATACGCGACACTAGGAAAAACAATACCCATATTATTGGCAATGACTCATCGACCGTACACATCCCTAGGCCTTCAAAATGCCTTGTTTCTGAATCGACAGTGGATATCGTTCCGTGCGTTCATTTCTGGAGGTGCTCTTCCAGTATTGTCACTGTAGCAACATCAGCGAGACCAACTGCAACACCACTGCACACAGCACCAACGAGCGCTAACCGCCCGTTTGTTTTTGTTCTTCGTCTAGTCGTATCAGCGAAGACAGCATAGGTTCAAGTACCGACTTTCTCTACCTGGGCATGACGTCCAGCGATACTCTACTTGTGAGTGGCGCGGAATGAGTATGCAGCGGCCCTGTGCTGACTTTCTCCCACCGATGCGTGCGTGAACGGGCGTCCGGGGTGCTGCAGCCATCGCAGGACACGGTTGACCATTGCCTGTCGTACCCATGCAGCGCACAAACAGTTAACCCGTGTTTAAGGCAGGCTATGAGAACACAATTGTTTCGTTTTGATGTACTTCTTGCGAAACGAGGGCACTCTCCGCAGCAGTCCAGCCACTGAACACATAAGTATTCAACGTGTTGAAGTTGATTGTTGTCCGTGACACTCCAGGTTGCCGTGGATGGAGGCGACATTTACCGGTTCGAGCGCAAGAACACCGGGAATCTGCAACATTTTGATCAAGTATCCGAGGCTGACATTACCGCCGCCAATGCCGATCCGACAGGGGACTACGTGGTATAGTATTGCATGACTGCTGTGTCATGTTTTGTCGCACTTCCGGATAAAAATCCTGTTCTTCCTGCTCGTGGACTGGTAGGTCGCTGGTATTCGTGGTAGTTCGATATCCTACCGTACACTGGATCTTTGGATGTCTGGAAGGTGAAACCGAGCTCAGCGAAACGATGCATGCCCTACCCCTACAAGCAGCCGGCTATGTTGCGTTGATCGTATCCTGGGCGTGCGCTCGCCGATGCAGGTACTCGTGTCGTCGTCCTGGTTCGTGAAGGTGTTCAACGTCGGCGCTAGCGTGGGTCAAGATGAACTGACCTGGCCCATACAATCGATCACGAAGTTCCCGAGCAAGATATATGGGCCTTCGTACATCGCTGTGTCGCCGACCTCGGTAGGGGTGAGGGCGCAAGCATGGGTTCCTCCGTTTGACGTTCAGGCAGCCGTTGGGGCGGTGTCGCCGTGTTCTCGCCGGCTTTCGCTCGGAATAGTTCCGTTCGTCACCAGCTGACCATGGGTAAATGGCTTAACCCGCAATCTTACTCGGCACGTTTTCATGGAGTCGATCTTTCTTCTCGTCACCTCCACTGTCTGTTCCTTTGTTCTCCCAACCACCACCCTGTTCACCCACCCAGGTCTATATAGAGGGGTGGACCGGTAACGTCGTGATGTTGAACAGCTACAATGACGGCGGCACGCTACTGCTCGGGGATTCTTTCAGCGACGAGGTTGAGGCTGCGGACTACACGTCAGTCGCCATCAGCCCGAACGGCACGGTGAGAATGAACCTGCTTGGACCCCCCTTTTTCTCCTTGGGTAAGGTTCTGCTGTCTTTATTCGTTCCCTTATCAAAGAAGGGGAGAAGGGGCGGCAAATGCCGCGAGGAGCTCATGGGGTAGACCCTAGCCTCGGGATACCCTTGCTCTGCAGCGTAAATGAACCGATCGAGCCGCTTCGCGTTGATTTTTTTCTACACGGTTGTAGGGGTTGGTTTGGATGTCATGAGGGCAGCCCGCGAAAGGGTAGTGGCCACAGACAGGGTCATCGAAGGGTTGATGGGTAGTCGCGGTGCGGCCGGTCGGGCAGATCGACCTTGTATACTTTGAATATATAAGTCGTCAAGCTGCCTAAACTACTCTTTTTCAGTGTATGTTCAAATGATCTATGAACATGACCTATGATAGGGCTTGAAAAACCATACCTCCTTCCCCAATGTGAGCCCTGCCGACTCACTAATAGAGCTCCTGTGTGTTTTCCCACAAGCACACAAGCACACAAGCACACATCTACCTTTGCCTCAGTGGCTACGTATGTTCGGGCGAGGGTACGTGTGGAGCTGTTTTGTAGGGCGCGTCTATGTTGCTGCTGGGTAGTTGGCTGCTGACATGATGACTGCTGGATCTTGGGAATGTACGATTACATATTTGCATGTTTTGAGATGCAGCATACCACGACATCCTGGTTTTGGCTGGGCTTGAAATACCTCTTTTCATGCCCTCCTCTCTTTGCAGCAGTGTCGTCCTAGATTCGGGTAAGGTCAGTTCAACGCGGAGCTATGATGTGTGGCGCATTGAAAGGGTATGTAGAGAGATTCATTGTGGCTTTCGCCTTTGGTACATTGTGCATTTTTCGAATTTGGTACGCTTCCAGGGACCTTGCTTTTACCCGCTGGAACTGACGTCTTGTCATTGGTTACCGGATAACCCGAGCGATGCCTACAACAGCATTTGCCAACCCCTGGCGTGGAGGGATGCGTATACTGTACAGGGCGGCAACTCCACGGCTTGCCACCACACCAGCATCCGCACATGATCTATCAATGATCAGTCAGTACGCCTGAAGTCTGGTGTCTGTGTACTCCTTGTTGGATGCCTCTCTGCTAATCTTCTGCGCAGATCTTTTACGGGCTAAACCAAGCCACTGGGGATCTGTTCCAACACGCTAGGACTCCGGATGGTGACCTGTGAGAGGCAAATTTTTGCATCCAGCACGTCTGACATTTGTGTAGGGACTTGTTGTCGAGCACTACGCACCCCCAACACCAGCACGTTTCTCCGATTGACTGTACCTCGTTCCCGATGATGACTTTCATACAGTGGGTCGGTGATATGCAGCGTCGCCACAGGCGAACCGGACGCGTGTAACAGGTTGCTGCCGTCGCCGGATGGAAACCACATTTTCGTGAGTGACGCATGAAATATTTTCGACGCATCATTTTCGAGTGTTGTGGGAATCGTCGAAAAGGCTTCCCGTGTGGAGGTGCCCTGGAATCAACTAGCTCACGACATGACATAACGAAACGTTTTACGGCATGATAGTGAAACCGGCAAGCAACATATCCAACGACTGCAGAAAACCGAAAAACGTACAGTAGGAGCATGTGTTAGAGCTATTTACCTTCACAGGTCACCATCCAGTTCTTACATGTGGAGTGTTTCTTGTTCCAGTTCTGCACAGCGCGTGTTCTGATGCATTGTCACTCTTCTCTAGCAGTCCAGGTCCCATTTTTCTCATCCGAAGGCCGTCTTGGCATATGCGTGTAACCCGTCGTCCGTTGTAATCGATGGCTTGTCACTCGATGTCCTGAAGCGCCGCCGATATTTGGTACTCTTGAAGTTGATATTTTTCCTGCCGGCCCACCAATTTTGAATCGCTCATGTCTCATGCCGTCCATATCCTATCAGGTAGCTGATGGAGCACGGCTGCTCACGTTCCAAGTTGGTGACCAGGTATACTCAAGATAACATGAAAACGAAAGGTCTCGATTGATTTGAGCCAACCTCAGTCATTGGCCACGGTCTCGCTTTGGAGTGCCCACGGTACGATCAATTCCACCCCCCAAGCACCGACGGCACCCGTAGTTAGTCAGCGTGACAAGCAGCTGGCACGCACGCACATGCTGTTGTTCCGATTACGAATTGGTAAACTATTATATTAGAAGACTAACCTCGTCAACGTCCGGTGCCGGGTTTCGCAATTATCTGTTGTCTCCCGAAAAAAAATCAATCCCCAATGGACATCCTCGCTGTGTCAGACACCGAGCCCGACATCGCTCCCGACGACACTAATTCCTTCACCGTCGCCCACCGAGAGCCCCACTTCGGCACCCGTCGGTAAGTTGGTTCCGGGCACGTAGATGGAAAACTATCTAGGACCCCATCTGCACGTGACTGTATTGCTCAACCCTGCCCCCGTGCGGTGTACTGTGTGTCGTTCTGTGAAGGTATCAGCGCTTGTCCCACTTAACAGACAGCCGGGCTTTGCCAGCTCACCTTAGATACCTCCCGCTGAGGGCGTTTTCCGCGGTGTTCCTTTTGGTTTCTATGCGCTCGGTTTGCATTGAGGGTTCGATAATGGTTTGCTACACGATTCTGCGGCTCGTCGCTAATGTCAACCGATTTTTTAGTTGAAAATCCGTTTTCGAGCCGTTGGCGCCTCGGTGTCACATTATTCGTTCGGCCACCAACGAACAAGTTGCATGACTGGCGCAATTTCCGCACGGAAACGCTCTTCCTAGGAGATGTTCGAACGCCGGAACACCACCGCCGAGACAATGAGATGAACGCACTCGCAACGGAACGGTTAGCTTGCTATCTCGATAATGTCACGCGAGATTTCAAACAGGGCACGATTGGTGTCGTTGAGATAAAAAAGTCAACATTTTGTGGAAGTCATTTCAGGGAGAGTCGTCAAATGGGCCGGCAGAATTGCTCAAATAGCTCAAATAACAGTTAAACAGCAGGCTAGGGACAAAATAGAAAGACGGATAACAACTTCGAGTGACTCAGGGGAATGCCCGTCATAAAGCCGTGTCGAGTGGTGTCCTCGAAAAAGGCGCTCCACGACTTGGGATTCCTAGATCTATCGGATATTTCAGGATAACCCTTCGGAGGTTCTGGCGGACGGACCACTACTTGCGCCGTGTTGCTCAATTTGTGGTCATGAAGGCACTCCAAGACCTACACCTGGACCAACTCCGGCCCCTTCCACGAGACCCCCAACATTAGCGCCGGCGCCAACGCCTGGTGAAGGCACTCCAAGACCTACACCTGGACCAACTCCGGCCCCTTCCACGAGACCCCCAACATTAGCGCCGGCGCCAACGCCTGGTGAAGGCACTCCAAGACCTACACCTGGACCAACTCCGGCCCCTTCCACGAGACCCCCAACATTAGCGCCGGCGCCAACGCCTGGTGAAGGCACTCCAAGACCTACACCTGGACCAAACTCCGGCCCCTTCCA